GATGTAGAGTTCGATTCTATACTCAGCCTTTTTATGCCACTTTCAATGGTTAAGCATTCAAAAAGGAGAAACCTCACGAATCGCTATGATGTAGAAAAAATCAGGTGACATTTCGATTATCGAAAAGCATTTCAGCTTCAGTTGAAAGGTAGTTATTTCTTCGACAATCTTGTTAACATTTTGAAAATTTCAGCTGGGCAACCATACTGGAAGAAGCTATAGTCAATGAGAATTTGATGTTTTCTCTTCACAGCAATGTGCAGTTTTGATCACTGCGGATGGCAGGGCCTGTCAGAGGTGCTGGAAAACCACACTGGCTGAAGTTTTCGAGCAGAATAAGCAAACAAGTAACACGTAGGGACAACATGGAGCTGAAATTGACAGATATTATTTAACTATATATGAACGGCAACGTCTGTGATCCAGCACCCTAGTCTGTGAGACGGTGTCGAAACAGTTGAGAATGCTCACAAAAAGGGCCATATAACCGAATGAAAGAGTTCCATTCATGAATAACTTCGAATCTGTTGATAGTGAGAATAGTGAATGCTATGGAGCGACCAGGTTTGCTGAGGTTAAATGGCTGATCGACGAGTTCATCGGGGCGGCGACAGTTTCTCGAAGAGCTAACCAAACTTCAGCCGAACTGTCAACAAATACCTGCTGCGCACCTGCCTACATATCACCGATTATGCGTAATGATGACGCCATAAAAATAGATAGTTTTGAAAAAATTCCTTTTTGCAAAGGAAAAAAGATATAACACATAAACTACGTCAGGTCAAAACGGATTAGCATTTATGACTCAATAAACCTATTGATTCAAAATTTAGTCCTAAGCGCAATTGCTGTCATGTAATGTGGACGTCGTTATCACTGAGTCAGTCGAGGCGTGTCAGCGTAGTGTAGGCTTTGGGCACGGCGCCCCCCCCCCCCTTAATCCCTGAACGACCAAAGTTGAGGCCGCAGCGATAAGTGGAAACAGGGCAATTGTCCCCAGCGAGTGAATCGTATTCGCAAAGGGGTTCCATCACCGGCAGAATGTGCCCCAGGTGGAAAACAGGCGACGCTGCGTCAAAACCCAAAACCCACTGAGTCCAAATAGAGGAGGGGCAAGCGAGACTCAGACAGCATCAGCAATGTAGTAGCTGACCTTCCTCATTCCTAAGGACCACTCGTTTTGGATCACAAGTACACCGACCTGAACACTGGTTGAGCCTTTAAGTCTCCTGTGAGGGTCAACTACGAATCCGCAAACGTTCACAGTTTCAAACGACAACAGGACATGCATCGTGTCCCACCAGCCCATAGAAAAATTCCGCGCTGTATGGTTTGGGAGGGGCACTTGTACTTGCGTTGCTACTTGGTGGTTCTAATGAATAACGCGGCTGAGTGAGACATATAAACTTGCGTGAAGCTGCGAAAGCGGTACAAGTGAGCCACTTCCGTGAGAAGATTTACAGGTGTCCAGAAGGTGCCCTTAGGATCCCCTGAGTACTGCTCCCCCAAGCCAAACTGCGCCCAGATTCTTTTTCCTGTTGTTTCTGTATTCTTGGCGTGCACAAGCAACTTGAGACGAAAATCACGTATACATTTATTGTCCTCAAAGCAAATATGATCACAGAACATGAAAGTACGGTATGAAAGTGAAATCCTCAGAAAATATGTTTCTATGGAATACCACTGAGAGTGGGGAAAAGATGATTATCTGAGGGCAACAACAAGGAAACGTGCCCTCTGGCCACAAAAGTGATATCATTTCGGTCTCTACGAAATTTTCGAGCGATTTCTCCAAAGATGGTGGGTGTGAACCTAAAAACAATGCCCACATGTTTTGTAACAAATAAAAACCCGACTACTGGTAGATCCGAACCATCAGCCTTTGGGTTCCACCGGACCCAATCAGATCAAAGTGATTCCAGTTCGACTACAACATAAAAACACAATTCGAATACAAAATAAAAATCTAATACTGAAGGCGCTTGCTGCGTTGAACGAGTGGGCGGGGTTTTCAAAACCGCTAACACCTCCCAATGGTGCGTACACTGAGAAACTCCGCCTACATGTCCAACACAGCTATTAAGGAGAACGTTATTATCAAGGGTATCGAGTCGAAATTATATTGGTATCATTATTCAATACAAACACAGAGAGGTAACCGACTATTGGCCGATTCATGAAAAAATAAAAATCGAGAGGAAAACATAATCAACGAAAAACTGCAATCAATGCACATGTAATATATTAATGGAATGTTCGAAAAAAAAACGATGAGAGAGGGAGCAATGAATGAAACGACGCACTTATAGACCGGATTTTGCCCAGCAAGAGAGCAACAAGTATTTACGGCGATTCAAACAACTTCGAAACATTTTTGAACGCTAATGAATCTCTGATGACCTTCCACAACTGTGAAACCTTTCTGGACTCGAACAACGACTTCTGCAAAAAGAATTACTTGCTGATAACTACTCGTCTTCGCACTCTCAATAAACTTAAAAATGAATCCTACCTGAGTAAAATGTGAGCAGGTCGCCAGCTGCGAAAGCGTGCCACTTTCGCCACTTGAAAATGCATGGCAATGAAGCAAATAGGGAATGGGAAAAACCGCAGAAGAGTCAAACAACGCGGAAATTTTTTACCACAAATGCGGCAACTTCCATCTCAAGGCACTGACGAACAACCCCTCCCAACCACGACCAATAAGCACTCCCTCCCCATCGCCAAGTATTAGGTCATCCCATTCAAAGTGGCCGACACATATAGAGGAATGGCAGAAAAGCAAAGGGGATAGAGCAGCGGGCTACTATACCATTTGGAAGCTAGTACCTTAAGCTGTGTATCTGTGAAATTTGGCGAACCTAGCCCCAGAAGAAGTTCTCGAGAAATTGAAGAGAAGCCCGAGTGGTGAAAATCGGCGCCGGTTTTTCAAATCAGACGTCATAAGAGGAAAGTGCGCTGCTCAAATTTGACCATTCGTCTGTGTGTAAGGGTGTTCTCCGATATACACGATGCGGAAGATCTGGTTCAGACGCCGTACACAAGTGAAGAAAGGAAAAAATTTGTTGTCGTTTGCGCTGGTGGTCCCATAATATTCATCCTGCACAAGAAAAAAGGGTGGATGAAGTCAGGCACTGAATATCTGATCACAGAGCCTGGACCCTTGTCGAGCTTCCCCGCGAGTCTGACATCCCAGCTGCAACTGCTGCCCGAGTTATGTCCGATAAACGGAGGATGGTCAAGAGGGTGGCGCATGGGTACCCAATTTTCTTATAGAAGCACGAACGCAGTACCGATTCTATACCTCCAGCAGTAATGTTCTCAGCATGAGATGTCACTCACAACTGTGAAAACGCACCCCGGCCCTAGATGAAATATGGGTGGTCTCGGACCTCGAGTCGAAACTCACAATCGTCAATTTTCTATGAATGCAGATGAGAAGCCGCCCGAGTTCTACCATGAAGAGTTACGTGGGCGCAAGTGGATGATCATCATAGCAAAGGATTCCCACACTGTGGCTTTCAAGCGGCTCTATACAGAGGACAAATCCGTCACTGTCGGTGCATATTGCCTGTTTCCATCGCACAATTCAGATCGACAAATGGATGCTACCACACAACTACAAGAAGGCCACCGTTGCTCGTCATAGTGCCAGACCCCGAGTAACTGTATTGTAGATCAGTGCTGGGACACAAACAATACTGAGACCTGAGTTCAATCGTCCCATTCGCCCGTCATAAAGCCATGCGATTACAACTGTTCTATTCAGTAGAGAGTACTCTTCGACGGCAGACGCTACAATGTTTTGTCATTTGCCGAAATTGGCAACAACAGCAATTTACCTCACACTTGTTGAAAAAATCGAAAGGTACCAGAGGTCCAAGGCTCCTCGGGCACTGGGAGCGGGTCATTGGTGAAGGAGGGATTTACTCATCCTAAAGCTAAAATATCACTTTTCTATCTATTCTCCTCTTCGTTTTATTCAAAAAAAAAAAACCATCGGCCACTTTGAATGGGTTGACCTAATACAACCCTTACTATTTTCTACTTACAAACGATAAATGTGCCTATTATTGAAGGCACAACCGACACTCGCGTGGTGCGGCTATGGGGACAGCAGTTCGAGTGATGTCCAACGACAACAAGAAAGCCGACACCGGGAATAGGTCAAGACAATCGCAGACTGCCGCTCCGCCGCGCGTGGTGAAAGACGCGGTGCTTTCTCAATTTGAATTACGCAGTCGATTGGAGCACCGGATCTCGCGTAGACCACGACATCGTGGGCATTTTGTGCCTATATTGATTACACGTTGTCGATTTCCGCAATTTACGACCAAGAAATACCATTTGCAGGCGCGACGTCGCACGCGGGGCGGCGAAATACGATTTGCTTGCTACATACCCGCCGGCATCCCTAACTCGTGATAGTTTATGTTCACGTACTCTACTATAAAGAAATAGTCGACATGATAAGAACGTATACGCGGCTGCGGGTTGCGTGACATCTTGAACTTTTGTGCATGGTCCTGTTACGAAACCCTGTAACGGCAAAGACGATAGAAGGGCACGGGTGCCAAAAAGCATCGAAACTAAAAAACGTATGGCGAGCCAGGAAACGGGATTTTCAAGGGGAGGGGACTCCGGGGTGGGTGAGCTACTTATAGTCGGTGAAAAGCTGGAGTGAGCGAAGTCACAACGGCCATAGAGTGCCATGCGGACGAGAGAGTGCAGAGAAAAGAGAAGGTCGACGCGTTCAAAGGGACTGAGTTCAAGTTGTCCGTAGACCGCGGCTGTGAACTATCTAGTCGCCCGCGATCGGCGACATCGCAGACTATGCCTACAGCGCGGCGAATTGTTTTAATTGTCTCACATTCTAGTGGTGAAAACGGTGCATTTCAAGGGCTGTGAACCAGCCACCTCGCACACGGGAGAGACCCTGACCCTTTTCCAGGCAACGCTACTTAAAAGCAAACTTAAAAGAAAAGAAGCAAAACCGACCTTCAGCTTGCCGCGCTGCCCAATTCTTCTGGACCTCGTGGAGCAGGCGGCTCGTGCGGAAAATCTACAAAACCAATAGGATGTTCACGAAAATCGCTCATGTTTTACAAACAACTAACCCGGCACTGAATTTCCAGATTCGGATTCATCATCGCTATCGTCGATTTGTATGAGTTGATCACCGTTCGCTTGAAGAGGCCTATTGAATGTTGGCGCGAGTGGAGATGGAGCAGAAAATGAGTCATCCTTGAAACGAAAGAGCATTACTCGAGATATCCTGCCAGGGTACAGCATCGTGATGTATGAAAGGGTGTAGGCCCCCATTTCCCCACACTCCGAAAAAGGGTTTCAGTACCCCCACCTAAATGGGGGTCTCGGTACGACCCTCCCTCCCCAACACCTACCTACCGATTTCCCTCATTTTCCATCCACTTTTTTCACTCAAAAATTTTCCCGTCGAGCGCGCGTGGGGAGGGGTATATAGCCAGTGTGATACGGGAAAATTTCTTAGATTTCCCCAATTTTCTACCGCTTTTTCCGGAATCTCCCCAAAACTTTCCTGCTTTTCCCCGAAAATTTTGCTGTAGAGTGGGGGCGGGGGCATATAGGCGCATAAACAGGAGAAATCACGCGAAAAGTCAACAATCAGGGAAAATTTTCCCCAATACAGCAAACTGCTCTTAAAGGCAGATACCGACTCCCCCCCCCTATTATTTCATATAACGATGCTGTACCCCGTATCCAACTAATCTCAATCGAAACAACTTGTCCTAACCGTCCCCAGTAGGTTTGTCAAACCGACTTCACTAATCCTTCATTCTTACAGGTTCTTTTTGTCTAGCTTCGCAGCATTTCCCTAAATGTACAGCCGGGTGGAGAAAATCCTCATAAAAGGTAAGAGGAGAAGAAATCTGTTGATAAATCACAGAATGGATGGGCAAAGCGTAGCGCTTCTGATGTTTCACCTCACTGCGCAAGCGCTTATTACGTATGGTTTTTCAAGTCAAAAAGTTGCAAAGGAAAGCAAACGTTAGAGGGTGACTCAGGTCTAATGGTGTACTCTCTAATTTAGCTTTAATCCGTCCGATCTATTTCTGCCCACCCTAAGAAAGCACTTGACAACAAAACTTCATTTTACTAAAAAGCTTCTAAAGCACACTTCCAGAGCTGAAAACCACAGGGAAGGTTCCTACCATCATTAAACACGGAATAATACTTCCATCACTACCTCTTACTTTATAGCAAGGAGTTTTCTTCAATAAATTTGTGTAATTAATTCGACAAAACTGATGTTTCACCTCACTGCGCAAGCGCTTAGCAACAGAAGTTCAGAAGTAAAAAGGAAACATTATTTCCAAAGCTAAGAACCTTACCAGGTCATCTTTTGGAGGTTCTGGTTGCGGTATACCGAGATGTCTTCTACAGTAGTAAGCAACACATTTGTGAACAAACTGGTATTGGTCCTAAAGCATTATACAGCAGCATAACGTAATAATCACTTAACGTTTAATGGTTTACTCTACGATATAAATGATGACGTAAGACAAGTTCGTCTTTACAAATCGTAAAACCCTAGCGTTCTCAACCTTCCCACTTCCTGCATCGTTATCATGCCCCTGCCCCTTTTTGACCTGCAGGAAAAGGTACGCCATGGCGCTGAAGAAAATTGGTTCCACCAATCGCGAACGTTTGCCAGCATCCACAATTAGTGGAGAACACGCCGGTGCCCCGCCAAACACAGCCTCTTGACACGCCCCGCATCTGCAGCGAACAAGGCTATGAACATGCCAAATTCAGCGAAATTCGTAGCCCAATACAGTCTGCTCTAAATGGCCAGTTTAGATTCCAAAGGAAAAACGCACCTGAGTTTGCACCATGCTAGCTCTTTGCTTCCTTAGGCTTATGACAAGTTCAAAAAGATCGAGCGATTCCAATTCCATTGACTTAATCAATTCTCTTATGTAATTCACAGATATAATAGTCCCTGTACGACCAACGCCAGCACTGAAACAGCTTTTCATTTATTGTCGAGGACCAAAATTCAGGTTAAAATGACATAAACCAGAAAGCATACCTGCAATGAACCAACACAGGCGCATCTGTGTTCTCATGGAGTTCCGACATTTTCTCAATCATGTTGATCAGTTGACTTTCACCTGAGGGACAACCATGATCTGGCCATTCCCTGGAAAGTGTGAGCTGGGAAAATGTTAAGGAGCAAATCAAATCGCTATGTATAGTCTTTGAGTAATAACGGAAGAAAGAAAATACATATCTGAGCTAGAATTTCGACTGCATATTTCTTCCTTTCTATCGTTGGTTTCTTCATATTATTAAAACTCTTTGGTATTTCTACACGATTTTTGAACAAATAAATTAACAAAAATCTTGAATAGTAAATGAATACTTACTTGTAATGCAGCTGATGGATCACTCTCGATTCCCCACTTTTTTGGTTCGTCATCCGCAAACGCCGTAGCAAGTATTCGTCATCAGCAAAACTTAAATTAACGCCATTATACTCCACTGCATTAACTCTACCGAGCAGCACGATTCTACTTCCAAAAGTGTTACAAGGCAAACATAAGTAACTGACGTTTCCACTGCATCCAGTGTAATTTCATAGCAACCAAAAAGCAGGCTTTGTCCAATCTCAGCTGGCCAGTACCGTTCGCATTTGACCTTAAGCAGAACTATACTCTGCTAGCGACTTTCAGCAATTCGGAACTTCAATTAACGGTATTTTTGCATCTATCTCTATCCTGTCACAATCCCTTATTTCTCTAACCGGCTTTAAGGCGAAATCTCCGTTCTGAAGAGTATCCCCGCCTCCCACTCCCATGAACAACAGTCACAGTATTCGATCGGACACTCCAAAAAGAAGTCCCTGATTTTCAAAGAGTCACAGTAACTATTGCACTGCAAACAGAAGAAAAGCGATCAGCGAAGTGTTGTGTTTCTACCGCGAAAGCGTGAAGAAGAACCGAACTC